ACATACTAAATGAGGTAAGTGATCTATGGAAAATTTTCAAAGCATTTTCATTGCGCATCCATCTCTTTGATATTACAATCTCAAGGATATCTTTCAGCTGGAGCAGATGAATGCAATCTTTTATGGAGTTCAAGTAGTTTTTTTTTTCATCAATTCTATGGCCAGGAGTCATCATGATATTATGTATGATTGGATTGAGGGTTGTGATATCTTTTGGAGGAATCTCCCGAACATTCATTTCTTGTAAATCGTATATGTGATTTAAGACAGTTCCTGAAACCTTTATTATTGATGAGAGAGAAACAAAACTAAGAATAAAAAGCAAAAATTGACATTTTACACAAATTTTAAACATATGATTTTGATTAATTTTTATATTTTTACATCATATGATTGATATCTGAGATATGATCATATGATTCACACCGCAAATATTTGCACCATCACCTATATTCTTAAAATAATTTTCACTTTGTTATTCTTGTATTGAATGTGGTTTACCAGAAGAAAAACGGGGATAGAGATAAGATAAAGCATTATGGGCCCAATTAAAAGGTTTTCAAGACTCCCACGAAAAAAAGAACCCAAGATCTAATGTTGATAGGTTGCAAGAATCGGAAGCCAAGACACTCTTACTTGCCAATTAACAATAGTCAATAGTTATATGATCGTGATTTGGAAGCAGTCAAAGCACTGTTATTACTTGCCAATTAAAAATAGGTTTATCGTTATTTGGAAGTAGCTAAGGCATTGGTATTACTTGTCTAACACTGATGGTGAAAAGACACAACTAAAGGTGTGGAAGATAAAAAGGGGTTGATTGATATGTAGTTTTTTTTCTTCATATTTTTACGTTTTGAAAATGCGATTTCACTAAATACATACGATTCACAATATTAAGTATTCAATGATAAAAAATGAAAAGTAACATGCTATTTTTTAAACCATCTCACACGTTTTAAATTTATAATTAGTTTAGAGAAAAATTCATTCATTTAATAGATACTAGTTTTTAGCGTTTTAAGTTTATTTAATTTTCAGTTTACCCGTTCTATTGATTCCATTAATTTATTATTCAACTAGGTATTTATCCGCGCTACGCTGCATGATATTTTTCTAAATTATATATATATTTAATATAATAAATTTTTTTATAATATAAATAAATAAATTTCTATTATTTTAAGTTACGTATTCATATATTTTAAATCTGAATACGCATTGTATATTCTTTTTATTTTTTAAAATTATAATTTGCTATTAAATTTGTTTAACTAACTATATATGTATATATAAAAATAAAATAATACATTTATATGTACCTCCATGCCAATGGTAAATATAATATATTTTCTATACTAAATTGCCACTTGATCCTTTCTTATAATTATATAAAGCAAAATGTCAATATAAATAAAAATTTATTAATTAATACTTTTTTTAAATTATAAAATTTATTTATTTATCATAAATATATGTTTCTAAAACTACTAAACTATAATCAATAACATTCATATCGAAACCATTGTTATTGCTTTTGAACTAAATAAAAAAATTATGTTTGAACTGTTGAAATATCGATTTAGCAGAAGTTAAATAATTAAATTTTGGTTACTGTAAACATATAGTAACTTGGAATTTTACCACCAAGAAATTTCATTTTCTTACAAAAACTGAAAAAACTCATTTCCGTTTAAAACGAAAAAAATTATTTTCCCACAAAAACAGAGAAATTTTTTATTCCCGCCAAAACCAAGAAATTTTATTTTCTCTTCAAACCAAAAATTTCATTTTTCCACCAAAACAGAGAAATTGCATTTTTCCGCAAAAATAAAAAAATTACATTTTCCCGCTAGAACTTGTGTTTTTTGCCAAAACCGAGAAATCACGTTCTCTCACTAAAACCAAAAATTTTTATCTTCATGCAATAACCAAAAAATATATTCCCGTCAAAACTTAAAAATTCATTTTTTTACGAAAACTGAAAAATCGCCTAATCCCGCCAAAATCAAGAAATTTCATTTTCTCGTCAAACCAAAATTCACGTTTTTCCATCAAAACCGAGAAATTACATTTTCCCGCGAAAACCAAAAATTACATTACCTCGCGAGAAATTGAGTTCTCAGGCAAAAACTAAGAAATCTCATTTTCTCACGAAAACTAAGAAATCCCATTATCCGTCAAAAATGGAAATTTGCATTTTCTATCAAAATCGAGAATTTGCTTATTCTCACCAAAAATTGAGAAATTTTATTTTCCCATCAAACCGAGGAATTGTATTTTCTGCCAAAAACCGCCAACTTGTATTTTCCCGAAAAGACTAAGAAATTGCATTTTTTCCACGAAAACCAAGAAATCGTATTATTCGTCAACTCAAAATTTTTATTTAGCATCAAAACCGAGAAATCGTATTTATTCGTCAAAATCGAAAAGTTGCATTTCCCATCAAGACCGAGAAATCGCATTTTTCCGTCAAAACCAAGATATTTTATTTTCCCGTCAAAATTGATTTTTTCCGTTTTCCCTCCAAAATCAAAAAATACAGTTTCCCGACAAACCCGAAAATTGCATTTTTCTGCCATAACTGAGAAATTACGTTTTCCACTAAAACTGAAAATTACATTTTCTTGCCGAAACCAAAAAATATCTTATTCCAGCCAAAACCGAGAAATCTCCTATTCCCGTCAAAATCGAGAAGAATTATCCGTGTTTTTCCAATAAAACTGAAAAATTGTATTTTCGTGCCAAAATCGCCAAATTGCATTTTCTGTAAAAAAACCGTGAAATTATATTTTCCAGCGAAAACCAAGAAATCGCATTATCCATCAAAACAGAAAAATTGCATTGCCCACCAAAACCGAGAATTCGCATTTCCTATCAATAACCGAGATATTTTGTTTTCCATCAAAACCGAGAAATTTTCTTTTCGCGCCAAAATCGGGAAATCTCATTTTCCCGTCAAAATCGAGAATTTTCATTTCCCAAGAACTTTTGTCTTCCTTTTCAAACCATGAAATTTTGTTTTCACGTCAAAAGCCAAGAAACTGAGCAAAGACCGAGCCGGAAACAGAGGTGATTCTGACGTTTCTGATGTCAATGATGCTAAGATTGAGGTTTTCACGAATGACTGGGAGGAAGCCCGAGCTGCGAAGCTGCAAAAGTGGAGACAAATCAGCAGAATAAGTGAAACCATGAGAGATGGAAAGCTCTCATCTGAGGCTTAGCGACGGAGAATAATCGAAAAGTTATTGGTTTGTTCTCGGTAACCACAAGAAGTGCGAATTTCCTAGCTGTCGTGGTTTGAGCTTCTCCTCCTTTGCTTTCGACCTTCATTTTTTGTAAACTTTGGGCTTTTTAATGGGTCAGCAAAATAGTATACTGATTTTATTATTGTGTTGATGATATGTATTATTGTTATGTTTTTATTAGTTCAAATTTTTGCTGATGTGTGAACTTCTTATGACATACGAGTTTTTGCTTTGTTGTCATGGAAGCATAGTTGATGTTATGCCTACATTTTCTTCAATCATACATGTCTGTTTCAAACAAACAGGTAGCTGTAAATTTTAATTTTTCTATTTGTTATTATTTCTTGTTTGGGTTTGAAAAAAAATAAAACAATTTTTTTTTACTATTATTTATTATTTTGGCCTGGGTTTGGCTAAAATTAAATCAATTTTTTTTTATTTGCTGTTATTTATTATTTGGGTCTGAGTTTGGCCAAAAAAATAAAACTAAAATTAATAATAAAAAATATTTGGATTTTTAATGGGTTTAAATTTAAAATTAAAAATAAATAGATGACTTGTATTAATAAAATGTTTTGATTGATGATTTGTTTTGCTAAAATATCATGTTTATAAAATATATATATATATATATATATTAACACTTTTTTCAAACCGCTTCATAATCACTCGTAAATATTGTTTGGAATCATCTATGAAAGCAGTAAATCAATGGCACAAGCACATTTTTACAAGATATTCACTTCTTTTGATGCTTCTAAATTTTTCATTTTATAATTTATAATGTTGGTTTAATTAGGTTTATAGATGAGTATGTATATTTTATCTTTTGGGCTTTTATAAATGAAATGAGTGATGTGTATTAATGTTTTAATTTGATTGGTGAATTTTTTTATTGAAGTATCATCTTTAGAAAATTCCAAAATGCTGAGGTATCTTTACCAGGAGAGACACTTGTGTTTTTGTTGTATTGATTATTCCACTATTCTGCTATTAAGTTGATATACCAGTCAAATCCAAAGAGTGAAATTTGAAAACACGATCTTGGGATTAGGGCTAAAGCATATGAGAACTCGAAAGAAATTAAATTATTTGTGAAATCTGTTTACCAATGTTTGGTAAGTACAGTTTGAAAGAAAAGATTAGAAGAATATTGCAACTGGACCCAACACAAAGTCCGTGGGTATTCAAAATCCGAAAGGCCCAAAATGTTATTATGGATGACAAATAATGTTCTTACATTTACATGCGATAAAGATGTATGGAATTATGCTTCACCTATGTGACTGACTACATTGTCCACCATGAAGACATATTATTACTTCTTTTTTTGATTGAATAAAATTATGAAAGATAAACATAAAACACCATTTAAAATCTATAAATAAATGTACTTGAATTTATTATATAAATATATCCAACCTCTAAGATATTCTGATATTTTAATAACCTACATAATTCAAACGTCATCGTCAATTATATAAAATTTTTAAAATATTAATATTCTAAGAAATTTCGTAGAAAGCACCAAATTAATGGAAAATCGAAGGTTTTTGTATAACTATAACATTAATTTGATATACAATACTCATATATAATAAACATTGACAAAAAAGGTCAACAGTTTTTAAATTAAAATATACTACGTGTAATTAGTTAAAAAAAGGGAGAACTGGGGATAAACACGAAAATTAGGGAATATTTTGTGTCTTTCTTGGAAATTGAAGAATATTTGTTTCCTCTTATTTTCCTAAGTACGCGTATTAAGTACTTATATAAATATAAACGTCTTATGATCGATCTCTCCACACACAAATTCGTTTTCAGAAAATCCACGAGTCTCTGCCTAAATTGTAAGAAAGAAAAAAAACTTAAGAAGAATGGGTTACAAAGTCGCTAGAGCGTCGGAGTATCTTGCGATCACCGGTGGTGGGATCAAAGACATCAAGCTTGCGAAGAAGTCTTGGGTGTTTCCATGGCAGTCTTGCACTGTCTTCGACGTTTCTCCGGTGAACTACACCTTCGAGGTTCAGGCTATGAGTTCCGAGAAACTCCCCTTCGTTATCCCTGCCGTTTTCACCATCGGTCCGCGCGTTGATGACCCTCACGCTCTCTTATTGTACGCCATGCTTATGTCTCAACACGATAAGCGCTCGAACCACGTCAACGAGCTTGTTCAGGGTGTTATCGAAGGAGAGACTCGTGTTCTTGTTGCCTCCATGACCATGGAAGAGGTCTTTAAAGGTAACAAACAAAACGCATCTCTATCACTAGAATCTTGCTTGATTTGTTTGCTTAAATATAAGTATTGTTTAAGAAGATTTTTCTTTTTCATTATATCACAAATTCACAATTGGATATTCTTGTATTGTAGGAACAAAGGAGTTCAAGAAGGAAGTCTTTGAAAAAGTTGCACTTGAGCTAGACCAGTTTGGTCTTGTGATCTACAACGCCAATGTGAAGCAGCTCGTTGATGTGCCTGGACATGAGTACTTCTCTTACTTGGGTCAGAAGACTCAGATGGAAGCAGCAAACCAAGCCAAGATCGATGTAGCGGAGGCAAAGATGAAGGGAGAGGTCGGTGCTAAAGAACGGAACGGTCTCACCATCCAGAACGCAGCTAAGATCGACGCTGAGTCAAAGATCATCTCTACTCAGAGGCTAGGAGAAGGGACAAAGGAAGAGATCAAGGTGAAATCTGAAGTTCAAGTGTTTCAGAATGAGAAGGCAGCTCTTGTTGCTCAGGCTGATGCAGCATTGGCGATTCAGAAGGCTTCTTTGACTAGAGAGTCTCGTGTAGCTGAGGTTGAGGCAGCCAAGGCGGTTGCTTTGAGAGAAGCCGAGCTTCAGACACAAGTCGAGAAAATGAATGCATTGACTCAAACAGAGAAGCTTAAAGCCGAGTTTCTCAGTAAAGCCAGTGTTGAGTACGAAACCAAGGTACAAGAAGCAAACTGGGAGTTATACAATAAGCAGAAGCAAGCAGAGGCCGTTCTTTACGAGAAGCAGAAGGAAGCGGAGGCATTGAAAGCTGCGGCAGATGCTGCCTTCTACACTAAACAGAGAGATGCAGAAGGAATTGTTGCAATGGCCAATGCTCAGGGAACTTATCTCAAGACTCTATTAAGCGCGGTTAACAATGATTACTCAGCCATGAGGGACTTCTTGATGATCAACAATGGGGTTTATCAGGATATCGCCAAGACCAATGCGGTTGCAATCAAGGACTTGCAGCCTAAGATCAGTGTGTGGAACCATGGTGGTTCCAATCAGGGGATGAATGGTGGTGATAATGGTATGAATGACATTGCTGGACTCTACAAGATGTTACCACCGGTTCTTGATACGGTTTATGAGCAGACCGGGATGAAGCCACCGGCTTGGATCGGTACACTACGTGGTGCTGAAGCCTAACAATCACTTCAGGTTCAACAACACAGCGGTTGAGATTTCAAGTGTGCTTTTTTAAAAATTTATTTCAGATTTTGGAGGATTTTTTTTTTTTTTTTTTTTATGCTTTTAAGCATGGAAGTCGTCAGCGTTTGTAGATAATCACAATAGCATGTCATATTGTCATCGCACACAAACGTGACTATGACTAAGCTTCGAAAGGATGGTTTTTCTTTTTCAGTTTCTTTTCTTTGACTTTATGAAAAATTTCGCTTTCATGTGTTTAATTTTTTTTTTAAGAAAACCTGTGCTATAATATCAATTAATCAACTTGTATAATGAATATTGACCAGTGGGTGAAACTGCGAAGATGGTACTACTAATTCCCAACAAGATAGAATATAAGACATGTATTCAGAGAATCTATTCCAGACTGTCCAAGCAAATATCTAATTAAAGTGCAACGTTAAGGAAGGCCATTACATCATTATTAATTGAATAGATAATAGCTATGGAATGAAGTAGTATAACTTTTCTTCTTTTTTATTTGTCAACGAAGTAGTATAAGACCAAGGCTCACAAGTTACAATTAGAAAGTCCCATGAGCAAAAAGATATTTATGTTGACCAAAAAAATAGAAAGGGATAAGACCAAGGCTCCAAGACTGTTCATAGCCGCTAACAAAAACAAGGGTTTCTTTACCATTATATGAAAAAGTCAATGGTGTTGTTAAAAATTGTCTAGTGCTCGATCTTAGATAAGCTAAGAAATCCAGACTAGGTTTGTTTGATGTGATAATTCAAGTTGAACACTAGAGTTTAAGGACTACTAATTCAAAATTAAAGTAACGAAAGGAAAAACATGTTTCCGCCGATTCAGTTAGAAGTTGACTTGTATCTGTCATAAGGCATATCGGTGCTTCCTCATATTTAACAGTCATTTCTCTAATATGTATACTTACATCGTGTCAACTTAGGGCATATTTGACTGAATATTTTTAGGCAATTGGAGGTTGAACCATTTCTTAAGTTACTTATTAAATAGAAAAATGAATCGAAATGTTGGCATATACAATTGAAATATAAAAGGGTTAGTAGTTACAATGAGGCAGTTTGAGATATATATTAATATTGAAAATTGGTAGGAAAATCATTCTTTACCTAAGAGCTAATTTGACTGGATCAAAGTTCTACCATAGTACTGAAAAACTCCAAGATAGAAATATATTATACTAGAAGAGGTTCGTGCGTTGCGCAAATTTATTATATTTTGATATCATATAATAATAATATTTATATTATAATCTGTTTGTTTAATAATAATCTATAAAAAGATTAAAAATTTAATTATTAATTAAAAAGATTTAAAAATATTATATTATTTCATTTTGATAATAAAGATATGTTGTTATGTAATATAACCAATCAGAAATATATTTATGATGAAATTTATAACTATAAAATAAAATATTGATATTTTTTAGTCTTTCTAGATTATCAAAACATATAGTAGTACAATTACTATTTTTTTTGTAGTTTATGTTTGTGTAGTTGATTTTTTTTGTTGACGGAGTGGACCCATAATTTAAATATAGAGTTTGTGGTCGGTTGATAGGGTAAGAAGAATTCTCTTGTAATAAGAATATTTTCTATTGGATTTGTAGTAGAATTAAAATGGTTATTTGTTTATTGAATGCTCTATGGTGTTTGCTATATTTAGCTTATTGTTTTTTATATATATATAGTATTGAAGTATTTTTATTATTTTGGTTAAGTGTAGTTACTGTTATTGTATTTTTGTTAATGTTTTATTTTTTATTTGTTATTTGTGATGTGGTAAAATAATATAGTTTTTTGGTTAATTATGTCAGTTTTTTATATCTTTAAATGTCGGTTTTTTTAATTTGGTTTAAATGTTGATATTATTGACCTATAATTAATTATTGTTGATTTTTTGATTAATCATATTTGACCACCAATTAAATATTGAGTAACTATTATCTTATTCAGTCTGTTTTTGTAGGAATATACGTTTTTTGTCACCAAATTTAAATCATAATTAAGTATTTTAATTAGTAGGAAAAAAGGCATGCAATTAATTTGTTTGTTTGTTGGATTTTTTTCTTTTTCATATTATACTGATCATATTGAGAGTAAAAACATTACATGTTGGATTTATGTAGAAACTGCAATTTTTTGTTTATTTGAACTACAATAGTTAAATTTTTTTTCAAAAACCTTAGAAACAATAGCATTTCAAACAATTTTGAAAAAGAATCTAAATTGTCTATAAATCAAATTAGCTTGCAGAAATCTACTATTTCATTAACTATTCGAAAATTGAATTAATAAAAGATTAACATGTGACAAATTGATTAATTATTAGCTAAAATAGTGTTTAGCTATAGGAGTAGCACTAAAATTAATCAAATAGATAAATACTGTAAAATGGATTAATTCTTGAACATATTTGACTTTTTGTTGACTTTTATTGTGTATATCACTTGTTTTTGTTTATTTTAATATTATATTTATTATTTGTTACGTGATAAGATGATATTGTATATGTGATATTTTAGTTTTTAAGTTTTTTAATTTGCTTTTAAAGTTATTATTATTGACTTTTAATTTATTTTCAGATTGTTTGTATTTATTATAATAGACCATAAATTTAATATTCTGTAATTATTGTATTATGATTTTTGTTTTTAATGAGCAGTATTATATATGGTTGCTATTAACTTTAAATATGAATAGAGTATTTTGATTGGAGAGATGAAAAATAATTTATTTTGTTTGTTTGTTGATCATTTTTCTCTAAAGATTTTATTGATGTAGTAAAAAATATTTTCATAACACATGTCTTTTATATTATTTTATATTTTGATTATTATTTAAATTTCTAATATTTTTAATCGTGTTATATCTGACAGAATGTGGGAATTAAGGAAGATTTGTCAAAAGGAAGTGGTCCTCCCGAGTATAGTACCGAGGGAAACAGTTATGTCAAGAGAACTGCCGAGATATTCTATCCAGATCGTGACATATCTCGGTAATGGTTAAGTGATTAGATCTTTAGTCGAGAGAAACGTGATTACAGTTGGTTTGGACTATAGTCGGGAGAAGTGTGACTACAGTGAAGCTTTTTTTTTGAGAAAAACAACTTTTTTTTGAAAAAAACTTTATAATTTTTTTTTATTTTATTATGATGAAAGTTTGTTACTTTTTTGTTGATAAACTGATTTTAATTTTTTTTAGTTTTACTCAAATTATAAAATAAAGAATATAATTAAATAAGAATGACATATGTCAATTGGTTGAGTGTCATATGATAGCATTTTAAAACTCATTCTAAAAAACAACAAAATATTAGAATATATATATATATATATATATATATATATATATATATATATATATATTTTAATCATAAATTATTAATATCATATTTTTTTTCTTAACCATATTATATTTCTTATTTTTTCAAATAAAATTATATCTTTATTAGAAAAACTTAAACTATTTATCAATAAATAGTAAGAAGAACTATTTTTTAACAAATAAACTTAAACTATTTTTTAATAAATAGTAAAATGATTTAGAAAATGACACACATCAATTTTTGGAGTGCCACATGACTGTATATCAAAGCTCATTCTGAAAAAAAACCTTACTATATTAGAATTATTTAGAAAATGACATATCAATTTCTGGAGTGCCACATAACAATATATCAAAGCTTATTAAAATAAAATAAAAATGTTGATGGTTAAGTTACTTAAATTAGGAGATGCATAAAGTGATTTTTTTTCTTGAAGCAGGAAGATCATCGTTAACCAAAACCAAACTCGCTATAAATCCTTGTGATTCCCGGTTCACTTATTCTTGCCTCCGTTCAGTTTAGGTTGGGCTCTTGTAGTGATGGGCTTAGCAAGAGTAACAAAAGAAGGGAGAAAGATGGGCTTTCAAGAATCTGAAGCCCATGTTGAGTCTGTAAAAATAATCTTTAGCACTAATCCAATACAGTAATAGTGTAATATTTGAAAGATCCGAGAGAAGTAAAAAGCCTCTAAATCAACATAACAATAACACAAAGTCTCTCCATGGCTTGATATCAGTTTTTTTGAAGCTTTATAAACATGACACCTAAGCAAAAATAATCACCAATCAAAACATTTTATTAATACATCTCATCTACTTATTTTAATTTTAAACTTAAACCCATTAAAAACCCAAATAATTTTTCTATTAATTTTTGTTTTATTTTTTTACCCAATCCAAGCCTAAATAATTAATAACAGCAAATTAAAACAATCATTATTTTATTTTTTTGCCAAATCCAAACCTAAATAATAAATAAAAACAAATAAAAAATTAAATCATTGTTTTCTTTTTTTTTTGCCAAAACCAAATCCAAATAATAAATAACAACTAATAAATAATAAAAAAAAATTTAGCTATATGTTTGTTTGACATAAACGTATATGATTGAAAAAGTGTATGATCAATATTAACTATACTTCCATGACAACAACGCAAAAAAAATTATATTATAAGAAACTCACACATCAACAAAAATTTGAACCAATAAAAACATAACAATTTCTTAGTTTTCGCGGGAAAACACAATTTCACGGGAGATAATGCAATTTTTAGTTTTCGCAGAAAATTGTAGTTTATTTGTTTTTGTAGAAAGCGTGATTCTGGGCTTGATTAGAAAATGATTTTTTTTGGCAGGAATAGACGATTTTTCAGTTTTCACAGGAAAAATAAATTTTTCGATTTTGGCGAGAATATTTAATTTTTTTTTTTTTTGCAGAAAGATGAATTTTTTTGGTTTTTGTGAAAAAACGTAATTTCTCGGCTTTGGTGAAAAAAAACATAGATTCTCGCGGGAAAATGAAATTTTAGGTTTTAGGTTTGACGAGAAAATTAATTTTTTTTTGTTTTGGCGGGAATAGGCGATTTCTCAGTTTAATGGGTAAATGAAGTTTTTTTGTTTTGATGGGAATGCGATTTCTCGATTTCTGTAAGAAGATGAAATTTTTATGTGTTAAATTTCCAACTTAAAGTATGTTTACAGTAACCAAAATTTAATTATTTAACTTTAACTAAAACGATATTTTAAGAGGTTAAACATGATTTTCTATTTAGTTCTAAAGCAATAGCAATGATTTTGATATGAATGTTATTGATTATAATTTGATAGTTTTAGAAACATATGTTTATAATAAAATATTTGATAAATAAATAAATTTTATAATTCATAATAATCATATTAATTAATAAATCTTTTTTTA